AAAAAAAAAAAAAAAAAGCAAACTAAAATCAATAATAAAAGTATTATTTGGCTTAAGTGGATCTCTGTTGCTTGCAAGCAAACATTTTCTGGCTCCAAAAGATGCTGCAGCAGAATATATTTTACAAAAATGATTGTGACAACATGTATAATGTCACACATTCTTTAGGGACCTTGCCTCTCCCTTAGTAAGCTGTGGTGTCTATGTCCCCATCCCTTGATCCCTGACAGATCTTTGGCTTGGCCTTGATGGGCAAATGATGACGGGAGCAATGTCATGTGACTTCCAAGACTAAGTCATTAAATGTGAGACAGCTTCCACCTGGCACACGTGCTCTCTCTCAAGATATTCTCTATAAAGATCTCAGCCACCAAGTAAGTCCAGCAATCTTTTTGTTGTTGTTTAGATGGAGTCTCGCTCTGTTGCCCACGCTGGAGTGCAGTGGCATGATCTCGGCTCACTGCATCCTCCGCCTCCTGGGTTCAAGCGATTCTCCTGCCTCGGCCTCCTGAGTAGCTGGGATTACAGGTGTGCGCCAACACGCCTGGCAATTTTTGTAGTTTTAGTCAAGTCAGAGTTTCACCATGTTGGCCAGGCTGGTCTTGAACTCCTGACCTCGTGATCAACTGGCCTCAGCCTCCCAAAGTGCTGGGATTACAGGCATGAGCCACCACCGTGCCCGGCCCCAGCAATCTTGAAGTGACCGTGCTAGAGAGGCCATATGGAAAAACCATAAAGAGATGGAGAAAGATGCTGGCTGCACCCCAGCTACAGGGCTGGGACTAAGATGAAAACCAGAGTCCTTGCTTACAGCACAATACCCAAAGGGACGCAAAAAAAACCCTTGGTAATCAGGATCAATGATGTTTTAGTTTAGCAAATTTGCTTATTTGTTTATTATTTTTTGAGATGGGGTCTTGCTGTGTTGCCCAGACTGATCTTGAACTCCTGGGCTCAAGTGATCCTCCCACCTCAGCCTCCTGAGTAGCTGGGATTACAGGCATGTGCCATCATGCCCAGCTTAAGGTAAATAATATTTTAATGAACAGTATTTTAAAAGTAACTATTAAAGCAAAAAACATCCGTGATGAATACATATCAAAATTTTACATAAAGACAGGCTGCGACACAGCTGTTGGGTCCTAGCCATACTGGAGCTTGCGGCAAAAGGAAAAATTTACATCCCTCTATGCATATTTTTAAATGGTCAATGGTTTTAGTAAAAATATTTGCATATTTTTAAATGGTCGATGGTTTCAGTAAAAATGTTATCAATGATTTTGCATCTGTTAAAGCCAGAAAAATAAATTTATAATAAATTTTGGCTTGGGTATAAGTAAAATATTTAAACTTAATGTTAGTTTTAACACATAATTTTCAACTTTTTAGTATATTGTTTAATTATCTTAATGTTCTTGAGAAAAAAATAACAAAATAACTGATTTTTTTTTTAGCCACCAGTTTTGGTGGTGATTTGTTCAGTCCAGCAGTAATTAGTTGGAACAGACACTGTTCATTAATCAGTCCCTTCATGCCAGAAGGGAAAAAT